TGCGGCACCGCTTTCCATTGTGTTGTGTTCCACTGTTACAGGGAACTGTGAACCTAGCCTAAAGCCCCCCATACATTTACAGATGCACTGCCGATTTTTCGGCCGTTCAACGAGTCATCACGCGTCAAACGCCAGAAAAATCATCTGGTGTGTTCTCAGCTCCGTCGGCTCCCCTTCGCTATGCGCTAGTGAAAACCTTTTTTTCATTGTGTTTGTCTTTAATCTGGCATTATAGTAGAGTGTTGGCTTCCTAGCCAGTAGTTCTGTGGTGAAATGACATGTATGTTGCCTTCCTTTCCTTCAATGGATGTAGAAAATACATTAGCATAGTATATACATACAGAGGAGTCGGAGTCGGGGAGTTGGAGTCGGAGTCTTTAGATTTTGAGTCTTCGTCGTCGGAGTCGGAGCATTTATCTACCGACTCCACAGCCCTGCTTCTGAGTGGTAGCCCACCTAGCTCACATCCCTTGTCATACTTTTGAGTGGTAGCCCGCCTAGCTCACACCCCTTTTCATATTTCTAAGTGGTAGCCCGCCTAGCTCACACTCTAGATTCAGGTTGCCTACTCTGAAACGGTTAACTGACCCGCACGGTGACATATCATCATAGACGTGACATGCACCAATCACACAAATGTCACCATTACAATTTTTTTGTGTGGACACCCTATATCCCTCCCAGCTAGATGCTGCCCTGGGTGATTGGGTGGTTCAATCTTATAACTTACAATTAAATTAAAACTGTATAAATTTCATACCTACTAAATCTGACCAAGAGGGTCAACAATCAAGATCAGATGCTTCGTAAATATACATATATCTTCAACACTAACTGCCATAAAAGTACTAAGGAAGTGGTCAGCTGGCTTTTTTTCTAGAAGGCCTTTATTGTCATTGAACAGATAAAAAATACAACAAAAACATCTGCATCTCTCTTATGACACACAGACACAGAGGTGAGGGCAAAGCAATTTTTCTGGCACCCTTTGAACAGTGTTTTCGACTAAATGGCCTGATAGTGACAAGATTACTCAGCCACAAGATCTTCATTGGTAATGTGGATTTCTGCATGCTTATTTCCCAAATTCCTTGTTTGTGAAGCTTCATTTTAACAAACATATCTATTGACTCATACATGAAAAGAGGGTCTTAAACAATGGTTATTTGGGTCAGTGAATGTATTTTTATGGGTAAGAACAAAGTTCTTTTACTAATCTTGTACTTCACTGAGTGAAACTGACAATCAATTGGATTATTTTGGCATTAGACCTATTCCAGCTCATTCAAAAAAGGCCGGTTGTGTCACTCGATTGTGTTGCAATGGATCACATTCACGTTTGTTTGTAAAGGTCAGCTTTAAGCTAAAATTAAAGTGACAGCTGAGTGTACCTCTGTCATTGTGCGTCAGTGCTGCAGTGATACATTTTATTCCTGTTCATGTTCTTATTCATTTTCTCAGATGAAATATGTCCATTGAATAAGCTCTGGAGTAATTGGGGGTTAAGGGCTTTGCTCAAATATTAAATCACTCTGCCGACCCTAGGATTTGAACCAACGTCCTAACCTGCTGAGCCACACAACCCAAATGTCACCTCTCACCTTTCATACCAGACACCGTTCCAGCAGTGGCAACGCCTTGATACCCTGTCCATGAAAATCACACACACGAGAGGAGACAAGACATGCTTTTGTAAGAGGCCAACACCTACTCATACCCAACACGACACAAGTATGCAGACACTTGCGCAAACATGCTACTTTCATACAGGGACCAAGTAGTACACAGTAGTGGCCGTTGTACCCCAAATTCCTGCCAAAGTAGGTGCCAAAGCACATTGTCATATGGTTTCCTCGGGTCCTAAAGCACATGCGTTAAATTTCAACATTTAAAATAGTTTATTCAACAATTCTTTTAATATAATTATTATTCACCCTGTAAGGTTTTATATCACTGTTTATGCGTTGCATTTCAAAATAAGCCTTTTAATTTTAATCGGGAATTATCTAAAACGAACTGTAACGCTAAGTTAGTAAGTATAGGTAACCAATAAAATGACTGTAGTATCTGTTAGTAACAGTGCATATTTATAATATTAAAAGCTGAATGCTTTATTTTAAAGGTCCGATCCCATAATTTATTAAAAAAAAAAAAAAAAAACTTTTTCCACAATATTTACCAGTCTCACTATTCGTGCACAGTATCCCCGCTCATTACTTAAAGTTCGAGGCAGGCATAAAGTTTCCGGCTTCGGTCCAGAGTCTGCGTTTCTTGAGCACAATATTTAACCTATATTAGTACAGTACAACACATAATGAGAAACATTTCAAGCAGTTGCTAAATGTTACTACAGAATAAAATAAAACGTCTCTCCCACTTTAAAGACCTTCTGAAGCCGGAGTTCAATGTACTGTCACACGTGCTTTACGCAGGCACGTGAGAGGCCAAGCTAGAATGGACGAACCGATTTGCAGAAGCTCTTCGAACAAAAGGGGAAAAGTAAACATCGTAGAAATTATTTTAACAGCCATGACAGTTTCTCTAAAAATCATTATTGGAAACTAAATAATAACTTTTTTATTCAAAGTCACAAACCAAATATATGCATCCAAATAAATGCAAAAACATTTGGCTATAACTAACCCCTTCCGCTAAAGTTGGTTTGACCTCAGCTGAAGGAGGCTACCAAAACGTAAAATTCACTAATTCACAAATATTGTTAGGATACTAAAATATGGACAAATTTGTAATTAAATAAACATTATTCTTAGTGTGATTACTCTGTTTCTGATTTGTTACTTGTAATTTTAAAATATACTACAAAAGCAGTTTACGGGCTGTCCTTTTTTTACTCGAATGGTACAATCCAGACATGCCTTCCCTTCATTCAATGGGTCGGAGAGTTATGCTTAATGTTTATGTAGTTCGAACAGGCAGCTGTGGGTTGGGTGAACCGTAGGGCCAAAAAGTTGATCAGCGGTGTCGTTGTTATGTTGCTTTTTTAGATTTTAAGGCCGACGTCAGTCTTCACATCGTGATCTCTTGTAGTTTTGCCTTAAGTGAGTAATGAGGAGAGAAAAATATATTTCCCCGAACATCAGCGCACAACGAGAAGTCCATGGATACAGAAGACGGGAGAAGGAGAAGGACGAGGAGCGTTCGGACGTGCAGGAAAGCCGGAGCAGAAAGCGGTAAAATGAAGAGGGAAGTGGACAAAGTTCTTAGATCTTTGTCTGTGGGGAACTCTGAGGACCATAATGTCCCCGTGGAGGAGGACTGTCTTTACGGGAACTTGTTCCGAAGCGAGAATTTGGAACAGAGGACCGTGGCGCCGCGCTATAGCCTCTTGCGAGAGATCGGAAGGGGCAGCTATGGCGTGGTGTACGAAGCCATAGCGCGGAAGTCGGGCGCAAGGGTGGCCGTGAAGAAGCTTCGCTGTGACGCCCCCGAAAACGTGGAGCTGGCCCTCGCCGAGTTCTGGGCTCTGGCGAGCCTAGAGAAGCGACACGAAAACGTCGTGCAGCTGGAGGAGTGTGTGCTGCAAAGGAATGGTATGGCTCAGAAAATGAGCCATGGCAACAAGAGGTCCAAGCAGTACCTCCGGTTAGTGGAGACCTCTCTAAAAGGTAACATTCAAGTAATATTTACCAATCCTCATTATCCATTGTCAAAATTAGATTAAAATTAATCGCTCAAATTCTAATAGCTTTGCCCTTTTGGTTGTGTACATTTTTTTTATATATAGGTAATCAGTTTACCACTGGATGTTAAGCCTATGTTTCACTTTCACTGTTAAAAACAGCAGGTATTTTTTATTATTTAAAAAGAATACTATAGAATTATTGTTATGACGTTAGAGAGGTAGGAAGTGGAATCTTTATGGAGAAGTCACTGTGTTTTTGTCACGTCATCCAGACTTGGCTGGACCAGATTAATCAAGTTTCTGAGCACTGCGCGGTAGCTTTCAGTTTTAATATCAGCCTTCCGCGATCGCTTGCTTTGTCAGGCTTTCTGCTCGGCCAAAGCAATTACCATGAATGTTCTTCTGTGACCATAGCGGGACTCCGATGTGGACGATCACCTTTGTAAACGTGTAATAGCAAGGAAAGCGAGGGAGTTGCTGCCCAGTCTTAGCTGTCCCGGCCGCAGCTTCACAATTTCAGTTGAGGCCTTTTTGATCTTTTTGAAAAGTTTCAGTCACTGAAATTCTAGCAGTGTGTACAATCGAAGCATTGTTTATGTTCCTAATCAAGAGCAGCATTTATGTTGAATTCATTTAGTAAACATAACCCCTTTAGCGAAGCCCTGCCGTTTTCAGTTATGCAATTGTGCTTTTTTGTGCTGGGGGGATGGGTGCTTTTGTAAGAATCCTGCTGCAGATGACAGCGAATGGAGGCAGTTTCGTGGCGTTTCCACCAATTCGGTGCGGTTTCGCGAAGATTTTTAAAAAAATTATTTCATTTTTTATTTGGTTGGATATGTAAGGCGAAAACTCGGGCCCTAACACTTTACCCAAAATGTCATTTTCAGCGGTCATGCTTTAAACTGTTCGGATTCCTTGTCTGATAGATGTATCAAATGAAAGAAGAAAATCATAGCCTGGTATTCTATTACCACTCAGCATGGAAAAATCTGAGTGTTCCTTTGGCCACATATGGATCAGGCCAATGTTCTGCCCTAAACTGCAGTCAGAGGTGTGCCGAGGTCATCCTCCTCTTGGGTGACCTGTCCCGGCTCTGTTCCCATCCATGCTTAGGTGTTCCTGACTAAGCTGAGTTATCCATGCTAGGCCCCAGACAGATTACACAGGCCTCAGGAGCAGCTCACAGCTGCCTGCCAGATTTGTGCATGGCTCAATGGCTGCCAGCTGCTGATAACAATCTTTGTGTGGTTGCCCTGCTGTGGTTTATTTTTAAGTTGTTTGATGACTTCCTCTCTTTCTGACTACCTTGTCAAGGTTTTATGGCATAAGGTAAAAGAGAGAGGATTGGTTTAGTACAGTAATCTGAATAATGCAGACTGACAATGTACGTACTTTGCATTTAGACCCTAATAGTTGATGACGCAAATTTTAATGAACCCCCCCCCCCCAACCTGTGTTTTTTATATATATATATATATAGCTCTATCACAGGTGTTTCCTGGCTGATACAGAAACAGTTTTGTTTATTGTGATTCTGGTCATTTATGATTCTTATCATTTCAGGCTTATTGGACCATGTCTATGAAGCAATATGACCAACGTCTGCCATTGAATGCCCAATCGCAATGTTCTCCATAAAAGCAGAGATGTTCTTAAATGTGTAGGCCTTAAAAACTACAAATGAGCTTAGAGGATGAACAATGGCAGCATACTCCAGCATATTTCTCTTTCTGATTTTGTGCATTATATGCTAACGTGAGACTGGAAAGGCAGTTCTCCCCTTGGTACCCTTATCTCTGCAGGGGTCCTGTGTGTTGGTTTAAGTTTAGGATGTATGACTGGAATACGAAGCTGTATGTGTGCAGTAACCGTGTGACATTTTCTATTGCAGGAGAACGAGTGTTGGGCTACCCAGAGGAGCCATGCTACTTGTGGTTCGTGATGGAGTTCTGCGAGGGTGGAGACCTCAATCAGTTCATCCTGTCCCGCCGGCCAGACCCTCGGACTAACAAGAGCTTCATGCTGCAACTCACTAGTGCTGTGGCATTCTTGCACAAGAATAATATCGTACACCGGGACCTCAAACCTGACAATATCCTGATCTCGGAGAAGTCAGGAGCACCTGTACTCAAGGTGGCGGACTTTGGGCTGAGCAAGGTTTGTGCGGGTCTGGGTGGCGTAGGCAAAGGGGAGGACAAGAATAAGGACATCAATGTGAACAAGTTCTGGCTGTCTTCAGCTTGTGGATCTGACTTCTATATGGCACCGGAGGTATGGGAGGGTCACTACACAGCCAAAGCAGACATCTTTGCCCTGGGCATCATCATCTGGGCCATGCTGGAGAGGATCACCTTCATTGACGCGGAGTCCAAGAGGGAGCTGCTCGGAACATATATCCGGCAGGGCACAGAGATCGTCCCGGTCGGGGAGGCGCTGCTGGAGAACCCAAAGATGATCCTCCACATTCCCCAGAAGCGGAGGAGCTCCATGTCAGATGGGATTAGGCAGCTCCTGCAAGACATGCTGGCCGTAAATCCCCAGGATCGGCCTGACGCCTTCCAGCTGGAGATCAGAATGGACCAGGTTACATGTGCTGCTTGACCGTTAGAAGCCGAACGATAGCGGACCTTTTATTTATCAGGTATTGACAAGTACGGCCTACTTCCCTGACCCAAAAAGACATACAGTTCTTTATTTTATGACATCCGCAAATGTCACGTAAGAATTTAGTGTCTTGTGTGAAAGTATGACTTGCACGCTAAGGAGATTATATGGCACTTTAGTGACCACCTAAGGGTAAACATGTTTATTTTTTATGGCAGGTGCATGTTAATTCAAACCACCTTTCCCATATCAGCCCAGGCCCGAGGCCCGAGGCCCTGCCCGCTTGAACACACATGCACTCACCTTCACTAATTAAGGTCATAGATTAACTGTCACACTGGTGCAATCTAAACATCTCACAGTGATGATTTTTAAATTCTTTATTTCTTTCCTTCCTCTGCTTTGCCTCTCCAGTTGTTTTTGTTTCTGCTTCTCCTCCTTCCTCCCCCTTTCTGTTTTAATCAAAAACATGTAAGTTGCCTCAGGGGCTGAGTGTACCCAGCATTCTTAGCAGTACCAGCCAAGGCCCCGCCCTGCACCCCCCAGTGCTGTTTCATAACACTCGCAGTGTCTCCCGGAGGGCCTCAGCATTGCGGTGGATCACATCAGCTGTTCTCCCTACCTCAGATCTCAGAGTAGAGATGTTTATCTCAGCTTTATCTTGCCGTAATGCTCTCTGCGCCGTTATACCTCGCGAGTGTATGCTGGGACTTTCCAGATGTTTCTCATGCGCTTTCATACGTAGCACAATCGCTGTTGTTTTCTGTGTGACCAGTACAGCTTGGGGCAGCCATCGTGCTGATGAGGCAAGGTGTTATGTGAGTGGTTTTTGTTTGTATCGCTAGAAGCCAAGGAATTTTGCGGGCATGTTCATGAAAACCCAGAACAGCAGGAAAACTGCAGTGACTGACCCAGCCTAAGTTGTACATCTTGGCAGGGGGTTTTATTGGGGCTGGGTACCGAACCTCAGTACTTTTGTGGAACCGCCTGAAGTATCCAATCCTATCAAGGACTGTAATGTCCAATCCTATCGAGGACTGAAATATTAACTTGCTTTCGGTGCTAAATTCCGATACCCAAACAGTAACTCTGTGTCTCTGAGCTAATAAACATGCAGCGTACTTGTGTAAATTTGAAGTTGCTTGGCTCTCTAACGTAACGCTACTTAAATGCGTAGCGTAAAAAAAAATACCTAAGAAATCAAGTGTGGCTACACAGCGTTGGGCTGCGACCATTTAGTCACATTTTGCGACCATTTTTGGAAACGAAATTTTATAACTAGGCGCACCAATATGCCCCCCACATAGGGACAGACCACATCGTCGTATATCACGTGGAACACCCGGCGAGTCGGAGTGCACGTGTATGTGAGTGAGATCGTTGGAACTCTGGCCGATTCAGGTCCTCAGAGGCACTACTGTTGAGGTGCATACGGTGATAAGCTTGCTGATTGCTTGACTACAAGCAATGGAAGTTATGCAGAAGTGCAGAAAAACAGATAAAAGTAGATGGTATTATTTTTGTACCTCAGTAAGATTGAATACTTTTTGCCTGCGTCTCCAGCCGGTGCCGACACTTATTAGCAGGATAACGTTACATCGTGTTTTATTCTGAGGAAAATGAAAGATTGATCTTCTGGCCAGATTCATTTATGAATTATATAAATGTCATGGGTTGCATAAGTAAAATCAGGGCTCTCAAGTTTCATGCATTGATTGTGAGACACGTGCATTTCAACCAGCTCACACACTCCCATGCACACCTTGTTTCTCACGTGGAGACGTAAGGTGAAACGCTCACCAAGGTGTCCTGTTATATGGAATTAATGGACGAGGTGCAGGCATACGGAGTGGAGTTACCCACCGAGTTCATAACTGTCCTGATCGAGTTGGACAGAGTTGATAGCCACTTACCAGCCAATCAGAAAGTGGCATTTGTTGCATGTGATCCCGCTGTAAGCACGTTCTTACGTGGATGCGCACAGATATGGAGTGCAGATAAGGTGGACCTGAAAGGTCTGATGGATGCAGTAGGCTGGGCTGTAAAGTGTCACGCGTTGGCTGTGAGACACACGCTGCGCTACTAACAGATGTATTCTCACTCCAAACTTTTGATGAAATTTCAGAGCCCTGGTAAAATATAAATAAAAAGCTGTGGCCCGTTATGATTGCAATCGATCCCCCCAGTAAATAACAAAACAACTTGTTCAAGTAAAAGTGCTGTAATGTTAGATGTATTTTTGTTGTTGTTGAAATTGATTTAAAAACATATTTTGGTATTGATAAAAGTATTATTCAGGATCCGGTATCAAAATCAAGGTATCGTTCTGGTACTCGTATTGAAACATTTTGAACGATGCCCAACCCTAGATTTTAATTAGTAAGTGATGTCATGGGTAGCGTGATCACCAAGCTGTCTAGGGTAGTGTTTTTTAACCTGGGGGTTGTTCCACGAAGCAGGATTTCTTGGTTAGCTGGGTTTAACTTAAGAGTTTAGGGAAGGAGCATTTCTATTGGACATTCGTAACTTCTAGCTAAGTTAAACCCAGCTAACTGAGAAATCCTGCTTCGTGGAACACCCCCCTGGTCCTGGGTTAACCCGAGATGGTTTGCGCCATGTTTTTGCTCCCTCCCAGCTTCCTGCCTCACTGTCCATGTTTTTGCTCCCTCTCAGCTCCTTGCCAGACAGTCCCCAGACTGGTGTCCCCGGGAACCAGTTTCAGAAACACTGCTTTAGGGATATGTGTCGTCTTCCAGGCAGAAAAGATTCAGCGCTGTGGGAAATCCTCTCCGTGGAAGCTGACGTTATGTTTGTCAGGTTTAGTGAAAGCCCTGGGGGTCCTGGTTTGAGCAAACATGCTTGTGTGCGGTAGGGGCTTTTTTTGTATAATTTAAAGGACCACTTTCCTTGTTTTGGGAAGTGAGGCAGTCAGTAATGATTAATGAAGAGTATTGCTCTGCAGGTGAAAAATGGTGGCATGCAATACGAGACGTGAAGTAGTTATAACAGAATGAATATCAGTGCTTGACTAATCACGTTAGTCTGTCCACAGATATGTAAATTTTAAGCAATCAGCAGCTCAGTGGTGTGTATTGTGAGGATGTTGTGGATCCCTGCTATTTCGGTTGAGTAGGTTTGGAAATATTGCAGTTTTTCCCTAAATGGTCACCTACCCATCCATGGTGGCCTGAAAACAAACACTCACAGATGCCCGCGTTTGTATTCGTATCTTTGTCCATAGGAATTAATGGACGGTCCCTACAAAGCCCTAATCCCAACTATGATAACCCTAACCCCTACCTAGCCCTAACCTAACCATAAGTAACCAAACAAAATACATGACTTTTGGAATTTTTAGTTTTTCGATTGCATCCACAGTTGTTTATAAAATTGTTTTTTCCCACTGTGTGGGCACTTGAAATTGTGCCCCCCCCCCCCACACACACACACCCTGAGCAAGCAAGACCCTTATCAGCAAAACTGTACTACTTCTGGTTTTTCATTCATTCATTCTTCTACCCCAAAGCTACAAGGCAACATTCTGACTTGAGTCTTCAGAGAAATTGAGAATGATTCCATTTTACTCAAACTTGCTTTTAAACACTGTAAGAAACTCTGTGTTTTACTGTATTGAATAGGGGACCTGCTACCTTCACACCTGTTAATTATACATTTGTTCCATTTCATTACTTCTTTGTTTTGACTTTAAAGTTTCTCATGTTAAGTAAAATGTAACAACACCCCTTAGGCAAATCAATATAAGGTATCCCTAAGCCTTAGTCAGGATTTTACCATCTGCTTGTTGAGTGTGCTGAGCTGAGTGGCCTCAGTCTACCCCCCCCCCCATTCCCCAACCCCACTCCTTGCCTGAGGGGGGAGATCAGCCTTTTGTAGAAGACAGACAGACTGTAAGAGGTTTGGGTGGTGGGGAGTACTGTAAAAGTGTCTTGATTTTGTCTTCTCAGTCTTCTGGCCAGAAAGCAGGGCTCTGTAATGCCTGTTAGCACATCTTCACACAAACCCCTCTTGTAGCAAAAGAGGATTGCAGCCTCTAGAGGCTGAAAGCAGTCGCAGTTCTCAGTCTCCGTCTCCCCCCCGGAACAGCCGGGCCATTCTTGGGAGAGGGGGGGGAGGGGCACCAGCTGAACGTGCCCTGCTGGAGACCTGCTACACTTAAGTGTTTTTTTTTTAATTTTAAGGTGTTCAGATCTTTGAATCTCTTCATCCAAAAATCCATTTGTTCAAATATCTGTGCTAGAGTGATGAGATGAAACAAGAATTATTTTCCCATGAATCAGTAAAAGTTTAGGCCAGTTTTACCGGGGCTAGAAGGTTAAGGTTTGTGCATATATTACATTTCATTTTCAGCATGACTTATAGTGAGTTGGATATTCTGTTCCGCATATGATGGTAGTTGCTACCTTCGTTTAAAGTCCATCTTGGAATATTTTCAGTGTAGCTGTGTGTGTGACTCCTCTAGAGGCTGAGACCCTGCTGTGGCGTTACCTGTTTTGTTATGGGCCAGTGGCTGCCGGTTCTGCTTCCCATTGGGGACGCTCCTGTTTGCACAGTGACTGAGAGCCTAGTTTGGTATGTGCAGCATGCAGTGTTTTGGCTTCTTATTGCTGTCCTTGTTAGGGGGACTGGACACCATTGGTTTATTTGAAGAATTTGTCAGCCGCTGGACATGTGTGCTTAAAGGAAGCTTTTGGGCAGGTACACATTTGTAGTCATGATGATGAAGCTATAATAGTTTCGGACTCTGAAACAGGTAAGTTGGTTGCGTAAACCCTTTCATCAAAGACAACAGGCAGTTATGTAATTTATTGACAAATATTGTGACCAGTCACTTTTTTATTCTCAAAATGGTTTCTCAGTAGCTAGTATTACAAACAAGCTTGTTGACTGTTATGTAGTGTAATGTGTCTATCATCAGTTCTATTTTTTGAAGTACCAAAAACTGCCTGCGTATGGTGCATGTAGCTCTAGGGACGAACAGGCCCGCAGTTTTAGAATCTTTCCAGCAAGCGGTATGGAAATTGATCAGGAGCAGAATATTTATACTGCAAGGTATGTAGTTGGATAACAGGGAACAAGGATGTCACGACACCAGGAATTTACTAGTCAGTAACAATATCTGAAAAATTTCACGATTCTCAACTGAGTTGTTCTTCCAGGTCTAGAGGGAGTTTTGCCCTCATTGACATGCATTAATGATATTTCACGCCAGTACCATTTTTGTGGCAGTTCGTGATTTTGCTCCATAGACCCTGATGTTGTTTTCAAGAGATCTGCTAATAGACATGAGAGGTGGCACCTGTTGGGGCAATATCATTTGACAGTGTTGATTCTGATATTGATTTTGAAACTAGTTTGCTGATCTGGTATATTACCTAGGTGTAGACGTTAGAGCTGCATGATATTACATCTGAATTGTCACCAGGGCCTTATATGACGGGCATACATATTTGTCTGGACACCTTATTTTATGGTGTATCCTTTTTTTTTTTATTTTAATTTTTTTTAATTCGCTTAGCGGAGTATGCCACACTACTGGCAAGGTATGTCCTGGAAAAGATAAGCACTGAAGTGGCAGTGAGGAAAGGAACAGCTCAAGAGCTACATATTTTTAAACAGGAGATATTGTGGATAAACAAGACGGTGATGGTATTTTTTGCAGTTAGTCAGGCACATAATTAAACCGAATTTATACAGATTACTAACTTACACAATACACCTCTCACTTATATTTTAAACGTGCTCCTAATCTGCTTACCAAATGATGGTATTACCAAGTCATGTCTGTATAGTGCCAGAAAGCCAATGTCCAGACAAACTTTTATGTCCATTGTCTAAAGCCCTGTAATCACATCGCATTTCTTGACACTGATTTGTGTCTGATTTGTGACCCAACTTGTGGCAACAGAAGCAACTTATTTGACACACTGTGTTGGTAGGTCAGTTCTCTTTGGCTATATTTTATTTTTGGTAAACTTTAATCTGTTTTTTATAAATATAGAGCAATATTAAGTGCAAATATTTCAAATAATTGCAGCGTGGTGTTGGGCAGCCCTAGCAGACCTGCTGGTTAGACTCGTCCTTCCCAGTTTTTGTCTTTGTTGCCCGAGGACACGTGGGGGTGCGGTAACTTAATGCTGTGAGGTGCAGACCTCTGACAGGCTGCTACAGGTCAAGGTTCGAAATGTCTGTTAGTGAGTAAGAGATGAGCTATGGAGCAGAACAGCCATAGGCTAGCGTCAGGATGAGTTTAGGGAAGCACCCGCCATGCGTTGTGTAATCACTTAGGCCATCCCTTCTGTAGACGGCTGAGCTACACCTCCAGTTCTGTCCTCTCTTTGCCCTTATTCTAAAATGTTGTCACTCGCTCTGATTACTTTATTTTTGGTGCCCAGGAGGGAAACTGTCCCGGAGCTAACTGTCTAATTGTCTTGCAGCTGAAGGTTACTGATGACTGGCAGGCATGTGGCTCCTTGCACAGCTGTTTTGCACGCGCCCTTCGTTTCCGCTGGTCTGTTTTCTCGGTTTCCTGTCGTGCGCTCCTGCACATGGCACTTCCACCGGCTCTGTCCCGCTCTGTTAAGCCACGTGTCGTGCCATCCCCCCCCCCATGCTATTTGTTTTTGCAAGTTCACTTTCGTATACTTTCAGTCTCTCCGCATATTGAAATTGATAGCATTGCCACATTCCATCTCCTGCTATGAAAGGCCACTCTGATGTATAAGTGTATCAATCTCAGCTCAATCATGTACCATCTCCAGCATAATTTGCATCTTATAAAGCTGGTTGTCACACCTTGGCACTGCAATTCATTTAAGCGGCTGCTTCATCACTGGAGATACTAACCTTACTGTCCATTTAGCAGGACTTCATTAATTTTGTTGCAAGTTCTGTTTTCCCTTCCCATGATGCACCAGGATGCAGAGGTCCTTCTGTGGAGTGTGTGCATTCTGACGAGATCTTGTTGCCACACTTATGTACCTCTAAGTGCCGGCATGTTTTGGCACGAATAGTGGCAGGTGGGATTCTAAAACACTGCTCCTTTTGCTGTTCCACCAATGTCCCACAATGCCCTGGAAAGGTTTAGTTAATTGTTTAAGGATCTGTACTATATTCATTGGGAAAGCAAAGTATAAAAAAAAATGCACTGAATACTTGGCAGTGTGGGCTAACCTATTTGCTGTTGAGAGTGAATGATTTTCAGTGTTTGTGCTGTGGAGAGCCGGATTTGACCAGTTTTGGGTGGGATGTGGGCTGACGTGTTCCTGTTCAGTGTTTAATTGCTGTTTTTTTGGCTCAGCTGCTCAGGATGTTGCCAGTTCATTTAAGAAGCTGAAGTTTGATTTCCCCGGTGGGTCGGTGATACAGTAATTAGAGTGGCTGGGCGGCAGCTCTTCACGTTCCAGTAGCATTTATTTCTGTTGTGGCTGTCAGACCAGGGAGCTGACTGTGCTGAAAATGCCGTTATGCAGTTTTCATCCTGGGTCTTTTCAAGCACCTTTTCAAACAGTAGCTAATTTTTAAGGCACGTTTACTTGCTAATGCCAATAAGCTGTGCCTTCAAACAGTAAAAAATGTGGCTG